TGGGTCCCTTCTGAATATGAATGCAGAACTGAGTAGATTCGATTCACTGTTATGTACTCTCGTATAAAAAAAGTATTACGTTGAGTTCGCAAGTTGAAAACTGCTAAGAGATCTCCGACAATATATTTTTTGTATGACATAGAAAACAGACAACATTCTGCAACATCATCGGCATTGTCATTGCTTGCTTCTATATGATCTTATTTTGGTAGCAGAAAATCTTTTCATTGATCGTTAATAATTAGTATTTTCGACGAGGACGAACAACTATATTTGAGATATTCAGATGAATCTAAGATTTCTCATGGTTTAAACAATTCCTATTAGATTCTTAACAAATTCTCTATGCTACGTTTGCACTCGGTAAATTTCATTTCACGAAGTTCTCTTATTTTATGTGAGCATTCAATTGAATCCTATTTGTTAGACCTTAAGAAATCACACAAAAGCAAGATTCACAGATATTCTTATGCACTTCTAAATATCCTTATAGATTTATAATAGTTTCAAATGCATCGGAACTATCTAATAGGTCACAAAGATATATAAGACTGAAAATCGAATCCAAGTAGCTTGTGTTGCTTTCAGACTGTCCTACTTTTATACTCGATGAGATTTCTTCCAAAAACTTACAATGTCTGTGCTTGTGTTTGTTTGAAATTTTTGGTCATTTATCAGAATTAGTTCAATTGAAAACTTAGTCTTTAAATAATTTATCGTGTATTAATCTTATTTTTATTAGTCCTCTTTACACAGTAAAAACTTTCACTGTGGATTTATCTTTTCAAAATGAAGGTAATCAGACGTTCATATTCATCATAAAGTCCTAGAAATGAAACTATTGAATCTAATAAATTTCTCTTCATAGCCACAGACTGTTGCTGGGCAACAAAAGATCCTACTGATACAAGATAATTTATATTTTCGATCGAATCCATATATGTATGTTCACATACGTTGAAATATCTCATAGAAAATTTTCTTATTGTGGCTTTTTTCTTTGCGATTCCTATTTCCATCCCTGATCACTGTCGAACACACACTGAAATGACTATACAGTTTGATGTAAATACAACTCTTCTTCCGATGTTGTTAAGTTCATGTTAAAATTCGAAGAAGAATCTTACATGTGGCTTGCATTTCACTGTTTCCATTACTTTTTTATCTGAATTATTTGAATATGATGCAGAAAATAGTGCATCATATCCTATTCTAGGTTTCAACCTGACTACTGAGGAACGACTTCAAGCTGTGCCCTGTAAGTATGAAATACCACCTACAGGGATTGAACATATTCACAAACTGAAAGATTTTGATATTGCTATTATTTGTGATGACTCGGGTTCAATGATAACTCCCATTAATAATACTGGTAGAACTCGCTGGGATGAACTTCGTGACTTTGTACATCTTGTTGTCGAATTCAGCACCATATTCGATTCGATTGGTATTGATATCTACTTTCTCAATAGACCAAACGCTCACAGAATCTGCACAGGTGGAACAACTATTCAATAACTCTCCATCTGGCTATACTCCACTGACACGTACACTACGAGAAGCCCTTAGGTTACCAGCAGCACGTCGAGGCTATGATAAAAAGTTACTGGTATTCATCGCTACAGATGGTGAGCCAAGTGATGACAATGGCAACCCAGATTTGCCAGAATTCAAACGTGTCATGAGTCAAGAGCGTTCATCGGACACCACCCATGTGATGTTTCTCATTTGTACCGATGAATCTACTACCGTCGATTACTTGATGGAATGGGATAGAACAATGAACAATGTTGATGTTACTGATACTTTCGAAAAGGAAAGACAGAAAATTCGTCTTCATCATTCAGGTCACCAACCGTTTTCCAAGGCTAATTGGATTGTTAAAATATTGATCGGTACAATTGATCAACAAACTGATCTTATCAACGACTAAACTTCAGGAAATAATAGAGCCTGTATTTAGTTGTTATACTCTGACTAACGAGTTTTATGAGCCTTTTTTTCTTAGTTCATAATAAAACAAGAACTGAATATATTATGAACAGTTAACCCATGCACTTGATGTTACAAACATCATGATGACTTTTGTCGTAATCTTAAACATGGTATATTGTATGAGTTTCTCATAGATATGATACAGAGCATGTACTTTAGTACAGTCATATGCTACCTTGTTATGTGTTGTACTATTTGAAAGGAAAATAATTCTCTTATGCTTTCGATCATGCAATTAAGCAAATGATCGATTCGAGTTCACTTGAATCGAATTTTGTCATTTTTTCTAACAAGTTTTATCTTGCAATCAGAATAACAAAAATGTATAAAAATGTAAAGTTTTCTTTTGCGGAACTCACTATAACAATAATAAGTATAAGTTCATATCCAAAAGTTTTTTGCTTGCTTCGTTATCGACACCTACTTCTGTTCATCTGTCAAACTCCATACTAAATCATGTTGGATAAGTATTTTTTAGATCGATGTAAACTCTTGAAATCTATAATATTTGATCTTCCGAAGAATCAATCAGAATCTACTACCTACTAATCAGTTTTTTCTGAACGAAAATTTATAAAAAAAAAAAAAAAAAAAAAAAAAAAAAAACTTGATTTGAAGGAAAGATTTCTTACAATTATGACTTTTTATGCATATAATCAATACTTACGAACATAAGAATATTGAAAAATTTTAACTAGTATAACGTACAAAGAGCACCCTCAAACACGGTTTTAGTTGTCATTGTTATCATTTATAGAAAACAGTCTTGGAGAAAAAGGTTAACAAAGAAAATACAAGAAATTTCAATTCTCAACATGTCTCTAGGCAATCATAAATCCATATTTCATGAGAAAAAGAACTTGCATTTTTCCATGAACAAAAAGAGAAATCCCATGAGATGAGAACTTTATTCCATCTAATTCAAAACCGTGTTAAAAGCGATCATTGATTTCTTATTTAAACAAATTACAATAATTAGAAGAAAAGTAACCTATCTTCTATCATCAATTAACACCAACCATTAAAAACTTATACAAACAACAAATAAAGACTATTGCTACTTTCGAATCTTTATGTAATCTTCTTCCATCACGATATATATTGAATAAAATAAAAACTTGTTTCTTTCATGTTTACAGATAGCTAACAATTTATATAGTATTAATGGAACTAACAATAAATTAATTAACATTGTATATGAAATATTGGCATTATGAAAGTACATTTCGAAATACTTTTGTAGTAGACTAGTTTATCATTATTATTCATCAGTTATGATTTTATTCCATTAGTCATTCGAAATAATTATAATTTTATAACTGGATCTTTTATAGCATGATCATGATTATTCATAAGATCTGATCATTGAAGATTTTCTAAAAGACAAAAATAAACAATTCGGTTTATCTTTTATTCTTGTTTTTTTTTTATGTTGATCTTATTCCATAAAACTGTTTTATTTTTTTAACAATTGAAATAAATCAATTTAAACGGTTTGTCGTTTTTTCCATTGGTCAAGTGGTCCATGATTAGGTAAATACTTAACATTGACACCATCATATTGTAAATTTCCTTGTTGCCATAAACGATCATAATCTTCACGTGTGAATTTTGTAAAACCCCATTTATCCGAAACAAAAATTTTTTGTCGACCTGGAAATTTAAATTTAGCACGACGTAAGGCTTCAATTGTTTGTGCTTTATGTTGATCTTTAACACGAACTGACATAATAACTTGTCCAATATTAACACGAGCAACAGTTCCTAACGGTTTACCAAAAGCACCGCGCATACCTGTTTGTAAACGATCAGCACCAGCACATGATAACATTTTATTAATTCGAAGAACATGAAATGGATGAACACGCATTCTTATATGAAATGCATCTTTACCACAATGTTTAACTAAGTATTTATTAGCACAAATACGTCCAGCTTCAAGTGCTTCACTTGATAATTGTTCATATTCATCGGATACAAGATGAACACATAATGGAAATTCATCAACACGTGCTTTCTTTCGACCCAAATCAAATATACGAATTTTAGGATCGGGTACACCACGACAAAACCGAGATTTTGGCTATAAGAAAACAAAACAAAAATAAAGAAATAAAATAATGGATATTATTGAAATTTTGTTTCTATGTATGATTTGAAATCAAATAACTTACATATGGCTTGTTCTTGCAATAACGATAGCACCGTGCAGGTCGTCGACCCATTTTTTGTTATCTATAAAATAAAATAAATAATCAATATTGAATTATTCTTACGAAATAAAAAGAAAGAAAGAAATATAAATATATACTAAATAATACAGTTTCATCTTGTCTAGTGAAGATTATATGACTCTATTCATGTTTCGACCACCATAATGAAAAAGTATATTATAACACACTGAAGCAGATTATTTCAAAAGAAAAAACTATATCATCATAAAGGTTCATGATTGAATTTCTATTGGTTCTCAATTCTATTATTGATTATTGGACATGCATTATGATAATTGCCGGAAGCTAATGTTGTTGAAGACCGAATTGATTTTAATTCGTTGATTGGTTATATATAGATGTCTCTTGATGTATATTGATCAAATAGCTAATTAGAAGATTCGAATTCCTTTAGTCTTCAGATTCAGATTCGACAAATTATTATTACCTGTCGTAAATCGATTCAATGTACTTTACACATGATTGAGTAATAATATTCAACGAATAATATTCTAGTTATATTCAAATAAGTAATTGGTTAAAAATATTCAACCAATCAGATTTAATTGGAATTGAGCCATAAGTTGTTGCATTTGTATTTTTATTTTGATTCTTTTATTACAAGTAGACGAAGTGCAAAGGTCGAATAATTATCGCTTAACTTGATGTACGTAAATGCACTTTACTGACATTGATGTGATTTTTATCTATATTAAATCATTTTTTTTTATTACATCTAGATGAGTGTCTACATTTGATAGAAGAAACAACACTAGATATTCTTCTTTATATATGGGCACATTTGATATTCGAATCGATAATCATATGATTACTACTAGTGAAAATACAACCAGTAGTGATGGACAACACGAAGAAATTAGTTCATTACGTGATCATTTTAAAGATAAGATTCGTATCTTATCATCAATTGGACAATTTTCTTATATATTAAAAATTCGACCTGATCAATATGATGTTTCATTAACATTACAGTTGGATCGTAAGTATTATAAAAAAATAACCAATAAGAAAAATTATTATTTATTTTTAATTATAGAATTTTATCCATCAAAAGCACCTGAAATAATAATAACTGCACCACGACTTACTCCTGATCAAATAATACTTATTCAACAACTTCTTCAATCTTATTGTGAAACATTGCTTAATAAACCAATGGTTTTATCAATTTATTCTCGTCTTCTTCAATGGTTTACTGAAAATAATATTCAAACATTAACGGTTAATTCAACTACTACTACTACTACTAATAATAATAATAATCATACAAATTCATTTGCTCCTTCTACTCAACGCTCACATAAAAATAGTAAAGCAAATGTGCCATTGGTACCTGTGAATAATAATAAAACTAATCATATTGATGAACATGATAGTGAATATGTAAAAAGAAGTTCTATGAAAACAGCTGAAGATGTTATATCACGTATTGAATGGGATGATCGTCTCGATAAACGGTTTTTTCGTGTTGGTTATATAGATCGTTTCCTTGGTTTACAAGAAAAATCATTTAATGATTTTGATTTTCAAGTTGATTTATCAACAGTTAGTGATCGACATTCAAACATACTTGCGATACCTAAACATCGAATACAATATTTTAAATATAATAACGAAATTGTTTGGGATAAAGAAACACGAACTGATTTAATGTTTGGTTCAACTGGAAATCAACAAACAATATATGATGTTATTGAAAGACATGAAAAACTCATAGAAAACAATTCTTCATCTCCGTAGGTTTTTATTGATTTTTTAATCAAAAAATTCTTTTTTTTTTATATCTATTAGAATATCTGACAATGATATTGTCGAAGATGTTCATGTTAATATTCCACCACCACGTTATTTAACATTAACTGATGGTGCATACAAACCAAATTATTTTCTTTCGATACCTATCATAGATCAAACTTTTATTACTAATTATAGTGCTTATCAAGAGCAATTACTTTCATCTTATCCATCTCTTTTTTCTGCCCATACAACTTCATCGAATCTTCATTTAACACTATTAACAGTGCGTATTGAAACACCATCACAAATCGAACAATGTATAACATTGTTAAAATATCTTCAAGATGAAATTCGTCATTATTGTTCATATCCTGAACATATTTGTTTGGAATTTAATGATATAGATACATTTCAAGATAAAATCTTATATATTAAATGTAAAAAAAATCAACGATTAGAAAATTTACGTTCATTAATCGTACAACGTTTTACTGAAGAACAACAAAAACAAGATATTCATGATATTTTTTTTGCTGGAAATTATTATGAATTTATTCCACATGTAACATTATTGAAATGTAAACGAAAATTTTCATCTGTATGTCCAAATGAAACCAAAGAACTTTATTTTGGTAAACAGACACTTCATTCTTTACAATTATCTTCAATTGGCAAAAGCGAACATGACGAACAAAAAAATAATTGTGTGTTTCAACTCGATATGAGTTAATTTTGCATTGCGTCAAGCCTTTTCTTTCTCCACTTAGTTTCTTTCTGAATTTGCACGGCGAGTTACTACTAATATAGATAGAATCTTCGTCATTTTATTACTACGTGTAAATAAATATTTTTAACGTCAATCGTATATGTATACGTTAATATTTCAACGTTGTTCTTTTTCCGTTCTTGATATTTATTTTCATGTAATATCTTAGATGATGACCAAAGTTTTTCTTTTTTTACAAAAAAAAAAAAAGAAGATTTTATTGACTTTATAGAAAAGAATGGGAGTACAAAATTTTTGGCAATTAATTGAATCAACCGGTCGACCGGTTAATATGAATAAAGGTTTAGAAGGAAAAGTCTTAGCAATTGGTAAGAGTACAAAAAAAGAGAAAAAAAAAAAAATCTTAAATTCATATGTATTTATATAATTCTCTCGAACAGATATTAGTATTTGGCTTCATCAAGCAGCTAAAGGCATGCATGATAGACAAAATCCACATATACTTTTATTATTACATCGTATTTGTAAATTATTACATTTTAAAATTAAACCGATTTTTATATTTGACGGTGGAGTACCAGAATTAAAACGACGAACATTAGTAAGTATGAATATTAGGAAGAGTTTTGTATGATGACTGTATTTTCATTTCTTTGTTTTTTGGCTGAACGACGACAACGACGAGATGTAGCAGCAACAAAAGCCAAAGAAGCAACAAGTAAAATACGAACAAATTATTTGAAAATGTTAGCTATTCAACAATTGAGAGGCGAAGAAAGTGAGTATATACATTTTTTAAATCTGAAAATACATTAACATCAGTGTTTTTTTTTCCGTATGATAACCAAAAGTGCTGTATTCACTCAAAATTCATATTTGTAGAGAAAATGTTGACAGATATATCATAATTGTTTTGAATACTCTTTTGACTCTAGAATAGCTATGTGGTAATGCTATTTCAATTGAATAATTCAACATTGATTGTATTAAGATTAAAAATCAAATTTTGTATACATAGCTTTTTTAACTTTTGGCCATGTAGCTATATTATGATTGATTTTGAATATTTAATACCTCAAGAAGAATGTATCTCTTATTCTATGAATCTTCATAAGATCTATCTATAGGTTAAATCTCAAGTAGAACTTTGCTAGAGATAACAATTCAATGGAATTGTAATAACATAGAAACGAATCTTTATAGGCTTCTTCTAATCTCGTCGCCATCTATTTATTGACGAAATATTAGTTCGATTCACGAGTCATACTTGGAAACGTTCAACGCGTGAGAAATTAGGAGTACAGTTGACATTCAAATATATAGATTAAGTTCATATGAGAAGACCTGGTAAGTCATTTTCCTCTTTGATTCGATTCTTTCAATTTATTGAAGGAAGAGTTGTGACGTATCTATGCATTGAAAATATAGATAAACCTACGATTAATACAATGCTATTAAACTAATCTTGGTTTAGAGATCACAGTAGACGAATTAACAATTTTAACAAATTTTCTATGTATACTACTTAAGAGAGCGTCCATGTGAGGACCGAGCATCGTCCCAGTATATGAGGCACTGGTCAAAATTTAATTTTTCGATTTTCTATGTGCATTCGAAAGACCATCACCTAAAACCACCAAATCCAAATTTTTAGCTCATTTGGATGTACTATAGTAAAGTTAGCCTGGATCGACTTTCTAGAGCTACCAGCCGATTGTCAAAAAAATAATCAAAATTTTTTCAGAGATATTTACTGAGATTATACTTTAACCAGTCAAGAAATTTTTTCATACCATATATCAAAAGATAGAGCATGAAAAACTGAAAAAAATGAGCTATTTAAAAAATTGTATATCATCTATTTACTGGGCTAACATAAGTGGAGAAGGTGGTTTTAGGTGATGGTCTTTCGAATGCACATAGAAAATCGAAAAATTAAATTTTGACCAGTGCCTCGGTTCCTTGGTCCTCTCATGGATGCTCTCTTAAGATGTACCAGAATGGTGAATTTAGATTAGTATTGATAAGATTTTGGTATTTCTTTACGCATGGGAAACTGAAATAAAACTATAACTCACTTAATTAGCCGTATTCAATGCTTGTACGTTCATTTTAGTTGAATCATCGCTACCGGCACCAAATGAAGATCGTGAAAAAGATTTATTTGAATTACCAGATACTCATCTACGTGCACAGTTAGTCGATGATGATATTGAGTAAATAATTCAAAGTTAGAAAGAGTTATTTTAATAATTCTTCTTTTTTTTCTTTGTAGAGAAGGCGATGATGATGAAATTATAGAAAATACTGAATTTGAACCCGTAACTAAATTAAATAGACAACGAACAACATGGTCAAAAAAACAATTAGATAATAACACTAATTATCATTATGTTTTACCTAATGTTAGAATGTTTTGTGTTTTTTTTTTGAAAAATTTCATATAAAATTTTTATTCTTTAGTTAAATGAAATAGATGATAGTGTACTGAGTAATTTACCTGTGGAAATGCAACATGAAATTCTAGTAAAATATTAGAAAATAATTAAAATGAAATGTTTTAATGTTTTTTTTTTTTGAAATTTTATTATAGACTGATATGAAAGAAAGTCTTAAACGTGGCCAACAACAAATTGAAGATATGCCTCAAGTATTAATATCATTCCATTAATATAAAAAACAAAATAACTTAGTTTTTTTTTTGTCTTTAGAAAAGTGATGATTTCTCTGATTATCAAGTACAAAAATTACTTAAACAAAATATAGTTTCACAAAAAATTTTTTCACTTAATAAAGCTATTAAACGACAAAAATTCGGTATAAATATATATATCTTATATTTCTTTTTTACATTGTTCGTTATCTTATTAAATAATTTTCATTTAGATATTCCATTAGAATCAAATGCTAAAGTTTACGCAGGTAAATTAGCATCAGATTCTAGTACACAATATATTCTCATCAAACCTGAAATGGCGCAAAAACCTACACCAACAAATCTATCAAGAATCTCATCAATATCATCACCATCTCTTAGTCGTCAATCAACAAGTGATTTTTGTGTTAATAATTTAATGAATCGAGATCCTGTTATTGGATTTATTCAACAACGAAATACAACTATCGAAATTGATTCTATATTTAAAACAAATGAGGATAAATCATTATCTATTGAAGAAGAACAAAATGCTAAAATAGAAATTCAAATTGAACAAGAAAAACAATCTCAAATAAATGAAAATATCATTGAAGAAAATTTTATTAGAGACAATGATGAAGAACGTATAGCATTAGAAATAGCTATTAAAAGATCATTAGAAGATACACAAATATTAAATAGTGAAAACAATAATATTAATATATCAAATACAATTGATTCTTCTTCTGATTCGGATGGTAAAATCAAATATATAAAAGACAGAGACACTCAGTTTGTCTCTTCATTCATAATTTACTTAATGTAGAATTTCATAAGAAATCATTTGATAACAAAATAGAGTGATTTTTGAAGGATTCAAACTAATTTTTGTTCAAACTATTGACATTCATGTTTCCTACATGAAAGAGTGGCTCGTATTCATTTTCTTTTTTTCTTTCTACAGACTCTGATTTTATCGATGTTCCAATCGTATCAAAATCTACTGAATCAATTAATCTTCCACAATTTATTAATGATAATAGTCATGATATAATCGAAACAAATAATAATAATAACAATACATCGTCTGAATTTATAGAACTTAATAATGATGATGAAAGTAGCCATAATAGTACAGCGATTGAAGATATTAAAATGTTTATTGATAATGATAAAGATCAACCCAATGTTGAAATTAAAGAATCATTATTTTCTCAATCAGTAAGATGAATTTCATGAAAAAGAAAAATCTTTGTTTTTTTTTGTGTGTGTTTTAGGAAACATTAGATCAACTTCAAGCAGAATTAGTCGATGATATAGCTGTTCAATTAACAACAGCTCGTGGTAATGAACGTAAAACACTGACATTGACAGATACAATGTATGAAGATACACAAGTAAGGAAGAATTAAAGTAAACAATGTTTTTATCTTTTGTTTTTATGTTATTTAATAGTATCTACTTCGTTTATTTGGCATTCCATATCTTATAAGTCCAACAGAAGCTGAAGCACAATGTGCTTATTTAGATTTATCAAATCAATGTGATGGAGTCATTACAGATGATAGTGATGTCTGGTTATTTGGTGCATCACATGTTTATCGAAATTTTTTTCGTCAAAATCAATTAGTTGAATATTATGATTCGACAATAATTGCAAATCAATTAGGTATAAAAATTAAGAAAAGTGTGCATTCAAAACTAGCTTCGTAATTTAGGCTTCGATCGAGAATTAATGATTGCTATTGGTATGATTGTTGGTTCAGATTATACAAAAGGTATTCCAAATGCTGGTATTATGACAGCTTTAGAAATTCTACAAGAATTTCATGGAACATGTATGGAACGATTAGAAAAATTTCGGTGAAAATTATTTCTGTTTAAAAAAAAAAAAAAAAACTTTTGTTTTCATTTTTGTCGATTTTATTAGACGTTGGTGGAAAAACGCACAAAAACCAGAATATAAAACTCAATCAAAATTACTGAAACATTTGAAAAATTTAGAACTTTTTGAAGGTAAAAATCTTGATTGAGAATATTAAGCCTATTTCTGTAAGACTAATCAAAATTAAGATAAAAACATAGAAGAATAGGTTGAGATCGATTCTTTCATAAACAGTATGATTTTTTTTTATTTGGCATGTTGTTTTTATTTTTTGAGTTTTTCGGAGTTTTAACCTTGTCATCCTTTTCCTTCGCATAAAAAATAAAAATCGATTTAAATCTATAGAATGTAGATCCACAAAAAATTTCGTGTTATCAAGTGAGCAATCTACAACTCTTGTTTGATGAATATCTCTCGGAAACTTTATCGTATAGGATACAAAATGTTATATTTCACTGCATAAAAAATAAAGACATCTGTCTAAACTTTTCGCTGTTTTACTGATAGTTAAACAATTAAAGACAAACGAGATCCAACAATCAAACAATGACAATTCTAAAGCCCATGAAAATTAATGTTCAATAAGAAAATTATATTGATTCTAATACATAGTGATTGATTTTCTTCTAATTCAAATAAAGAATTTCTATTCAGGTTTTCCAAATAAAGCTGTTTATGATGCTTATATTACACCAAAAGTTGATTATGATCAATCGAAATTTACATGGGCTATGCCACAACTTGAATTAATTCGAGAGTAAATTAATTAAAAATTTCTTATTCTTCTGATTGATCATAAATTTTTCTTTTTCTTTTCGATAGATTCATAGGAAGTAAACTTAAATGGGATCGACAAAAAATTGATGATATGATATTACCAGTCATTAAACGAATGAATACCAAAGAAGTTTGTGTATTTTTTTTTTTAACTAACTTTGTTATTCATTGTTGTGTAAATTTTAGGTACAATCACGAATTGATTCATTCTTTGCTCCACTTTTATTTGAAGGTACTTCAAATCAATTGAGAAAAAATACACGATTAAAATCTGCAATTGATTTACTTAAACAAAAAACTCAAGAAGCAAAAGAAAATCCTAATGAATTGAATCTATCCGAAGATGATGATACTCCTATTCCAGAAAGAAATGTATCAAAACCTAAAAAACAAACAAAAGCTACAAAATTAATGAATAATGTATTAGATCGTGTTGCACAAACTAAACGACGATCGAAAAAGAAAAAACCTATTGCTTCTCCCGTTTTATCAGAGGACGAAACTTTTTGATTTTTTTTTCTGTACTTAATATTCATGCAAGCATTTATTTTTGTAAATACCGACAAACAAGAAAAACAGTCACTGTTTTAATTTTTCTGTCAAATAAATGAATATTAATAAGGAATAGTATCATAACATGAAAGAGAAGATGACGATATTCGATGACATCGTTGACAAACGATATGACTTGGATTGATTGATTCAAGATAAATATTAGAGTTAATGGTTGCATATGAACAATTATCATCGATTGATATATCTTTCGGAACAATTAATATTGATTTTAAGACAAGATTATTTCGTACAGATTTGTGTCGATGATAAGATTGAATACATATAAATAATAGAGTAAGAAGAATTGCAAGAATAAAAAAAATAATACAACTAATAACTATCAAATGAAGATTAATTTGTTTTTGTTGTTGTCGTATTGACGAACAAGTTAATGGAAGAAGAATTTTTAAATCAAATATATCCGATGGAAATATTGGTGGAGGTGGAAGTGTAAATCGTGGCGGTGGTGGAAGATTGAACATTATTTTCTTATATGTCTAGTGTAATTAAACTAGAATATTTATATTGTAATTTTATTCAGCTGGTACGAGAGTAATCTATTCATTGATTAGAATCGATAAAATGATTAGATTTGCCTATCTATCAATATCATATGTATTGTCGTCAATAATGCACATTTTTATCCGTGACAAATTTAATGGTATACAATAGTTTAAAACGATAAGAATAATTATTATCATTAGCATATTCAGATTAAAGCGAGAAAAAGAGAACGATCAATTGCAAAATACGTGCGATAACTAGTTCTTCTTACGAAGCCATATGTATATATATTTATATGCGTTTTTTTTTATACATGCAAATATATTACATAATCATAGATATTAATATATGTTTTATTCACAACGATTATTGAAAATGTATTTTTTTATATGATTTAGTGAAGATAAAAAAGAATAATATCGTATGAATATTTGTGTTTCTTGTAGAATGAAATGTGAAATCTCTTTAATTTGATTGTATTTGTGCACCAGTCAAAAAATGTTTTGTAAGTTAGATCAGATGAAATCATACAAGTCATCTTACGAGGGAAGGGCACCAACTGTTCAATCGCTTTTGCCTTGAGATTATGTGCATTATGTAGGTACAAATGAGCTACGAATATCCTGAAAAAAGTTCGGGCAGTTGGTTTATTGCTACGAAGATACTGCACTTTTACAGTATGTTTTTAAATGAATACCGTAGTCCCCGTCATAAACACCAGAAAAAATGATATTCAAATTTTGACTGAAAACTTTACATAGAAACAGATCTCAGCAAGAATAGCATTTTGTGAAAGTTTCAGGTCTTTTGATTTGTTCCTATCCTAAAATGAAAACATCAAATCTTATGGTTTATCCGGCTTGAAGTTACCATAATTGTATCTACAGATAGGAACAGCAACAAGATCTGAAACTTTCACAAAAATCTTTTCTTGGTAAGACCTGTGTTTCTATGTAAAGTTTTAAGTCAAAATTCGAAAATCATTTTTTCTGGTCTTCCTATGAGAGATCACAGTGTTCATTTGAAAACATACTGGCAAAAGCGATTGAACAGTTCGTGATTTTCCCTCGTTAGTTTCAAAAATCTCCTACAAAATATCTATAGATACTGCATAGTATTTTAATAAAAATTCTAAAGGGGTTTCGGTACCTATTAAGATTTGACTAAGCGATCAAATCTTTTTAGACGCCTCAAGTTTTCGGAAAACTCGTGTTTTCAAATTTTGATCGAAAAGTTTGTGCATATAGAGAACTCAACTAAACTAACTTCCATAAAAACATTCAGAAGTTTCGAACAAAGTCTCTTCAAGATATGAAGTTTTCAAAAAATGCATATGACATACGTATACTGTTCATGAAAAAAGTTCTATATCTTGAAAGTCTCATGTCTTGAAGAAATTTTGTTCAAAACTTCTGAATTTTTTTCTGAAAGCTAATCTAATTAAGTTCTCTATATGCACAAAGTTTCAGATCAAAATTCGATAGCTTAGTCAAATATCAATAAGAATCCAAGTCATTTTAGGATTTATATTAGAACACTGTATTATCTATAGACAAAAAATCATTGAAATCAGAAGGAGGAATGTGAAGAGGTTCCCTCATTAGTGTTAGATTTCGGAGAAGACAACATTTTTTGTATGCTTATTTGTTCGATTGTTTGACTTGAGTAGTTTTATGATTGACATTTGTTTTGTTACTTTCTTCTATCTATGAGTATCATAAAGTTTATGATCGATTCTAATGAAAGTTTTTCTTGTGTTAAAAAAATCGATCACCATCGAATGTCTACTGCCATTTCTTAAACATGATGTATGTATTCATTTATTATACAAGGTTTATTTGAGTGGAATATTTGAATGTCTCTATTGAAAGTGCTTATGTTTTTACGAAGTTGCAACTTTGAATTTTTAGATATCGAAATTTATTAAATGATTAGAATAGTTCTTTCACTATATGTTTCTCTTTTTTTATATGGATAAGTAGATTATAGCTAGGTGAATCAAGTTTGACTTGCCTAGCTCTGATGAGTTTTTTTTTTATAATCAGGTATTATAGGTTGAAGTATATCGTTGATTTACTTATCGTAGGTTAGGATACGCTTTAACATTTATTTCCCATTTTATCAGATTGATAGAGTTACGTATTGCATCGGAATTCTTGTACAAGCAACAAAATTTTCATTGCCTTCAACGATAAATCATAGTATTTTTGTAATGAAGCAGACTTAGAAAACATTCGTCAGGAAATGTTGAATTTTTTCATAATTAAACGTTGGATTCCACATTGATTATGACTTGAATTAGTACTTTTTTTTTTTTTATAAGTGAAGGAGAAGAAGAACTGTAGGAAAAACTTGAGTTAGATAAGTTACAAATTGACGAAAAGTTTCTTTGTCATCAGTCACTAAGCTTACGTACCTAACAAAGCATTTTCAATAAAGAGAATGAATCTATGATGAGGTTTCTTTTGTTTTGTGAATGCTGCTACTTTACCGTTATTCTGTTCTTTTTAGTAAAACACAGGTCGAAAATTCTTCTTTCGAAAGTTGAAATTAATTAAAGACAAATATTAGCGTGTTTCTTCAAGTCTACTTGTTTTTATGTTAGATGTGAGTTTTTTCTGAACTGTACTAACATAATACATGATTTTGGAAAAAGGGGAGCAATCGTGACTATAAAACGTGTTTTGATGTCTTTTAGAGACCGTCTTGGCTTATTTTGAGCATTTTTTCTGCGAAAAATCGAAAAAATATTTTTGACAGGAGTGCCGATCATCTCCATTTCCCCCTCAAAATTCACCACTAACTTGAAAAAATACCTGACATGCCCAGATATGATATCTTTTTTTAAATTCCTGCATTATTCTTGCTAAGAGAATCATTGATATTCAAGCGGATAGAGACATCTTTCATATGTTTATTTATTGTAATAAGACACATGTGTTACAAAAGAATATGGATTGTCTTAACTAATGTTCTTGTTAAAATCGTTCTCCGAAGTTACATGTAAATCGTTGATAATATTTGAAAAATTCATTACTTTATTTATAATTAGTTTATTTCAAAGAACCAATTAAAATAGTTAAAACTAAACAGCAGCAGCTGATGTCGATTGTATTTTGCTATTTTTATTTTTATTTTTTGTTCGCAATTAAGCTTTGTATTATAGTTTGTGTATATATAAATTAATAATATTTATATAATTTTCTTCTTTAATTGTATATATATACAGTTATTTATTTAAAGTTTATGATTCTTTATCAAATAAATATTTATTAATTTTCAAGGATATATTTAAATATTCTCTATTGAAATATTTTAGATTTGTATAGTCGTAGTTTATTTTTCTTCTTATTTCTTGTGTTTTATTTCTCATTTTCTTGTTCATATTCATTTGATTTTGTCTTTCATTGCGTTTTCTTATTTTTTCTTGTTACAATGACATCTGCACCAACTGAACTGTATCATAATCATGGTAAGAGAAAGAAAACTAAGAATAGAAAACAAAATTTGTTTTTTTTAACTTTTGTGATTGAAACAATTAGATCCTTATCAACGTGGAACGAATAGTAAATTATTAACAACATCAATGAATACTATAAATACAAATGATGATATGATTCCAATAAAAGCTCAACGTGAATTGGGTATTATTGAAAAGCTTTGCTCAACTTATGGTTTTGTTTATTGTTGTCATCGTGATGGACGTTATTTTTTTCACTTTAGTGAATATAAAAATGATATTCATCAAGCTAAAATAGGAGGTAAAGAAAATTAATTGATATAATGAAGAAATTAATTTAAATGAAAAAAAAAAAAATTAGATGTTGTCGAATTTGAAACAACAATTGATAAACGAAAAAAAAAGCCTGTTGCTGTTAATATTATACCTGCTAGTCCAGAAATAATTGGTGAAAATCGTGTAGAAGGTACTATTGCAGTAGTTGCACGACAACAACAACTACAAGATAATGGCGTAATTAGAAAAAATTATTATTTATTTTTTCTTGTTTCATATGTATATAATTATTTAATTTTTATAGTTTCCTCAATTTGATTTTATGCCCGATGGTAAAGTAACTTATGTAAAAAAGGGTGAAACATATTTTTTACCCTACGGTCTTGCTGATCTCCAAGATGCAACTGTTCCAGTAAAAGTTGGTGATCGAGTTCGTATTTAAAATAAATTTTATCATGATGATAATTATTTTTCTTCATGAAGGTCTCATTTAATGTTGGTCAAGATCGTCGTACGAATCAATTTTTTGCACGAAATGTAGCACTTATGGAAAAACCTATTCCATCTACGCCACCAAATATAAAACGTTATCGTGGTGTCATATCAACAATGAAAGATAGTTTTGGTTTTATTGAACGTGAAGATGCACTTAAAGAAATATTTTTTCATATAACGGAATTTGGACCTAATGTTGCAACAAATACAATTCAACCAGGTGTAGAAGTCGAATTTGATATTCAAGATCGACATGTATGTAATTAAAAGAAAATATTAGATTTTTATTTAAGTATAATCTCGAGCTGAGAGGAAGACAAATATGTCAGTTAAATTTTGATGAAACACTTTTCTTGGACACTGAAGATCGGTTTTAGTAACGTCATAATCAAAAGAAAATGATTTTCAGAAAAGTTCATTATCATTTAAAGAAATAGCCGAAAACGACTGAAATTCAAGTTTGAACAGAATAATTTGATGCTTAAAATAACGTTTAAAATTCTTTGAAAATATGTACATTAGTTTTTTCATCAAAATAAAACAAGCTGTTATTTTATTTTACAACACCACTGATAAAAAAATTTAAGTTCAATATATTTTCGAGGCTTTTTTTTCTATAATACCAAGTGCTTAGCTCAAATTAAAATACTGCGTAGTTTGAATAGCCGATAGCGTTTTGCATCATATGTATTCTACATCTAAACCTCAGAAGAAATATTCTGAAAAACTAAACACAATTGTTTTCAA